CGATACTATCCAAGAAATAAAAACGTTGTAAGTCCACTTCAAGCAATTTATTTTCTTGCGCGGGATCAAAGCGAGCAATCCCAAGCGGGCAAGATGGGTCCAACTTGCCCGCTCGTAGAGCTCACCGGAACGTAGGTTTCGCGTCTCACTTCCTACCTTCACTGCATGCGATATAATGATAATTATTATTTGCATGAGACTTTTTCCCCTTTTTATGAACGCAAGGTTCACATCTGCTAATTTTTTTCAAATTACGCATGTAATCTCTGATTTAAGACCAGTTCAATTTGTGCAACACAGTAATGTGTTCTGCTATCTCGCGTAAACGGAGAACAGGTTTTACGCAGCGAGTTCGAAAAAGTTAACTTTCTACGAACAGTTGGATATTTTCTTTTTCATTATCTTTATCCATTTTCTTTCACTCCTTTTTTTTCCAAATAAAGTGCTCATACCATTAACTGCCCAACGACAGTCAGTTTCTTATCAAACCCTTTTGGTAACGCGTGTACTCGTCACAATCAAAGAAGCAAAAAATGGACACTTTAATCAGTTCAAGACTTGAATTCTTTACCCCCTTCTTTGACCGAGAGAAGACTAGGACCGAAGTGAACTTTTAACGCTTGAATGAGTGAATGTATCACTAACCTCTATGAGTTACTGTATATATTGTATATAACAGAGGATGTTTTTCTTATGAGTATCGACTGCACAAAAAAGTACTGAGGTTTCCCCCTTTCATTCGCTCTAAAAGCTGCATTATAATCTCTCCTTTCTTCCATTGTCAGGAGATTTCATTTTAACGACCAACCCTTTGCGTTAAAAAAAATACGTGGTCTTCGCGCATTTAATTATGCTGTCTGTTTATTCCTTATCTGTGTAAATTGCTCCGTTCCTTTGTTCCAATTCTTAATTCAGCACTAAAGATAAATAACTTACCTTTTCTTGAAAAAATGCGAAAAAAGTTGAAAGAGACGATTCTAACGCGAATCACCTTGAAATTAGATATGATATGCGCTGCTCGCCTCCTGACTCCAGATATTAAGCAAAATTCAAAAGATTTTATTTACCATTCCAATGTAACAATCCTCATCAACACGACACAACAGCTCAAGAAAATTGAAGTTGCTATCTGGGGAGTCGAGAAGACTAAAGTAGAGGCAATTTGCTTCAATCCAGGTGGTCATTTTGTATTCATCAAAGGGATAAGACAAATCAAAGTACAGTAGACTCTCTCTCGAAGACAAGGGCTGCTTGAACCGAACTCGTATCCAACTGTCTGACATAGGAGGATGGCGGACGAAACATGGAAGAGAATCAAGACAACGGGACCTCGGGAATTCTGAGGGAACAAGGCTGTTCCGATGCACATTAACTACATGCATTTCTGTTTTAAATGTTCTTCGCTCGGAAAACTGAATTGCATGTTTAACGCTTTTAAAATCTACATCCGGTTCTAGAACAAAACAAGAAATTACGAAATTCGCTTCCTTCAAAGTTTTGTTTTTTTTGTCATTTGTATTTATATTGTATGTATCCATTTACGAATATTTATACAGGGTAGCCCAGTTCAGCTAAGGCTGGTTTAAATGGGGCCCTGTCACACCCACCCATTCCATCCCAGGGGAGGACATCCACCACGCAGTAATCTCGTGCAAGGCTCGAACCCTCGACCTCCTGTACAACACAATCCGGCGCTCTAACCAACTGAGCTAACCGGGGGATGGTTATGTTAATAGGGTTAAGTTATGGTAAACTGATTGAAAAACAGCGGTTAGATAAATTTTCGTTCCTCTCCACCCCCCTTAAAAAAAATCGACATTCCAAACTAGTACTGAAATTCAAATTGAAAGTGGTCAGAGAATAAATTGATTAGCGATGGGTTCGAAAAAGAATTCAGATGTAAAGGAACATAAGACAAAAAATTTTT